AGCAGATTAATAGCTCAGTCAAACTGTGATAAACTACAAAACACTGCATTCATAATAAAATGTTTAAAAACTTGGGAATAAATTCAGTAAGACTATGTAACATGTAGTTTAAGAAATCATTTAAAACTTAGGGGAACTAAGGAAATGGATGTATGGAAAGGTCTATGTATATGAAAAGATAAAAAAGTCCTAGATGGTACTATATAAATTCTTAATTTGATAGACAAATATAAACCAAACTATAATAAAAACCCCAATTAGACTAAGGTTCATCTAAAATAAGTACACAGTATTACCAATGTTTTAAAATGAAATTTGCTAAATTAAAACTATAATCTAGTGAGTCTAATTTTAAATATAAGCATTAAAGATGATTTTATATTTTCTTGCTTCTTTGTATATTCCCTCTTTCATTTTTAGAATTTAGAATAACTTTAAAATGAATAAATTATTTAAAAAGAAGGAAAAAAAAAGAAAAGCAGTTAATATGGTGACTCAGTACAGCAGGTCCCATGACTCCCTCACTCATATTTTATCATATCAAAATAATGAATTTTATTTGATCCTTTCATCTATACCACTGTGGTAATAATACAATATCCAAGAAAACAAAAGTATATACATACAATTAGCCAATTTACTACTGAACAGAACTCCAGTACTGTGAGTTCTCTGACAAAGACAGCAAAGAAAAGAATGAAAATTTCACAACTTCAAAAGAATCCTCATAGTGTTTGTGTTTTGGCTGCAGATACTGTGTTTGCTTTATACAAAACTAATTTTTCTTTACAAATCAGTGAAAAAGTTTACATGCGTATGAACTGAGGCAAAAGGCAGTCATGTGACCTGCTTGAAATTATACAATTAAGTCAATGGCTGAACTGTAAACAGAGCCTGGGATACCCAACTGCTACTCTGCTACTCTAACTAATGGATCATGCTCCCTGCTATGTAATAAGACTGTTTCCTTTAATTACAAATTCTTCATTCACCATCAGATTATCAGCTAGAGGCTTTATCATTAGTTTTGCTCTTCTTCATTCATGGCACCATTCCAAGAATATCAGATTTCTACAATAAGAAGCATAAAAACCACCACTTATTGTACCATACCAAATCTGAAAATTCTAATAGCCTGTGGCAAGGATAGTTCACCAAATCTTAATCAGACATTTATAGGTAAAGTTGCAGATTAAACAGCTATTTTTGCTCACTAACTGACCTTGTGAAAAAAAAGTTCTTCTTTCAGTCATAGCACCAGTGCACTTAAAATCTGACAACACATATTCACTAGTCAACAATACTGACATATATGAGCTATATGCAAAAATCTAAAAGGTTAAAGAATTTAACTGCATGTTAGAGCACATATAGAAGTAGAATAAGACAAAAATCATGAGATTACATTCTGTGCTAAAATCTATTAAAGACAGTTTACTGAGCAAACAAATAAAAGTAAGTATCTCTAAAGAGGTATTTAGCCTCTTGTTTCTGAGGAGCATTTTGTGTTTCTTTGGCACATACAGTAGCAATAGTAGCAGCAGCCTTGCCCTTGGTGCTGATTTCTTACTACTCTAAATGCTTCCTCAGAGCCAGAATACACTGGCTGTTGCTGATCATGCTGTGAGACACCTGCACTGGCTACTAGGCTTGTCATGACGCACAAAACCCTACCATCTTCAGCTTGACATTGTGCAAGTTATAATTATTCATCCAAATGAATATGTCAGAGCAGCAGCAGCAGACCTCTCATCAGAGCAAAAGAAAAATACATCAAAACATTATCAACTCAGCAGGAAGACAGGGACCATAAGGAAAATTACCCATTTTTAATATGGATGCCACAAAGGCATGTCTATTATAATACAAAAAGGAAGGAAAATAAAGATCTTCGAAGTTTAAAGTCCAGAAACAATCCAAAGAGGAAATGTATAAAAGCAATGATTTTTTAAAATCAATTACCTAAAACCTGTTTACAGTCACTTAAATATAACTTTACTCCTAAACTACAACATTAACATTAACACTGCCTAGGAACAATTGTTTAAAAAGTGTTAAAACCAAAAATAAACTCACACAAGCAGAGTTGTTTCCAGCCAGTCAATTAAAAAAGGATCACATATAAGCAAAGTCATTCTGTTTGCTTTCTACTTTCAAATTATAAATTAATGTTGGGAACATTTTTATTATGTCTAATAAAACACTCAAATAGTTCATGCTGCTGTTAGCAACACAAAAATCCTTATGATATACAGCTAGACTAGAAAAGGTAGTATTTTTGAGAAACCTGAATTATTAATGGCAAGAATAAAAGGTTTAAAGTTATGTCAGACCTGCACAAAAGACAACTCCAAATTCTGTTACTATATAGTAATAATATAGGCAAGTGTAAATTCAGATTGCTATCTCAAATTTAAATAAATGTGAAAAAAATTAAACTTTCAGAACAAATAAGAGTATATGTTTTAAGAAAAAGATATGTGAGACTTTGACACCTAAAAGGCAGAAATATTAAGGAAGCAAGAAATAAATGTAACCACAGTGAAAGTTAAACTTCTGTATGATAAAACATAGGAAGTTAAAAGGTGTACTCTAGGGAAAGGAGATACACAAACCATTTGTATCAAAAATACATTACATATTAATTATTGTAACTGTCCTACTAACCTGTTTTGAAACCATCTCATTGCTCTTTCTCAATAAAATTTAAAAAATACATAAGCTAAAGACAGTAAGCCCAATAAACATGACTGTCAATTCTTGATGCAAATTAAGGTCAAACTAAGATCAGAATAAAACTTTGAAAAGATTTGGCAAAGAAAGACATTGTTAAAATGGAACTATAAATTTGTACAACCAATTTGGCAATAAATTAGTAACCTCAAAGTGGGACATAAAAGCTACAAATAATCCACATTTAATGTCTCCTACACATATACTCAAGGAAACATGAAAGTTGTTCATTGCAGGCTGCTTGTAAGAAACTCTGAATAACGTAGCATCAGGGGAATAGACAAATTAATTGATAAACATATTTTAAATAAATGTACCAGATACACAGATCATGAATCAATCACTAGAACAATACTGTACAAAAAATTCAAACTATAAATATAACATAAAAATGCTAACAAAAAATATGCATGGATAGCATAAATGTCAATTTAGGAGAAGCAGACCTCTTTAGAAAGGGAATGAAGCAGAAAGAAAAGGAATAGAAAAAAGAGTTGTTTCTGTGCTGATCCCAGAATATTTTATTTCTAAGACAAAGAGAAGTAGAAATATAGCTAACTCAACTATGACAAAACAGTAACAGCTGTCAAATCTGACTTGTGAATTAAAAGAAGTCTTCATTTAATCTGTACTTCACTAATAATTTCAGTATATTGTATAATTTAAGAAAAAACAATAAATTTCAACTACCTAGTTAACTGTTTTCTTAGAAAGCTATTACAAAAAACATATGACTCAAATCTAAAATTTGAATCTGAATTATTATAGTCATCTTACATATACACGGCACTAAGCTTGTTAAGTAGGAATAAAAAAAATCTAAAATAAAGTCACTCTCAAAAATACTCCAATCTGGTAGTTGCAGACCAATCTAATATGATGCAAACTTAGTCATAATGTCTGGGGAAACAATACATAGTTACTTATATTTAAGAAAAAACTAAAATAACTCGCCAAAACTATCCTCTTCAACTTTGGAATGGTTATAAACATAAATTATAATATAAATAAAATCTAAAAACCAAAATAAAATCAAGATATAGTATTTTCTCATGACCTTTCTTTTTAAAACAGAAAGATAAAGATTCTAGAAACAAGTATAAACTACATATTTAAAACATAAGAAAGCAATAAAAGTTCTATGTAATTCCTTTTCTTGAAAAGAAAAAGAAAATCAACACACTATTTTTTAAAAATGTGTAACATCAAATACCTAAAGCAAATTATAGTATTTTTCTTTTTTTTTTCCATTATTTTATTGATAAAAGTATTTTTCTTCCATTTTATTTTGCTGTATTTTCCCAATTTCCATTGAGGAAAATTCCTTGTTTAAAAAAAAAAAAATGAGAAAAATAATTTTTAAATAAATTATCAAAATATTTGGGCTGACTAGAATTTTTTTACAATTTTTACAACTATTTTTTAGTATGTAATAACACTTAGGTATGTATAATTAAAAAAACAGAAGTACACATTTTACTTGAATCTCAACAAGCCTAATAAGAATAAGGTTAAGTTTCATTTACAGAACAAAATAAGGATGTTTTCTTTTCCTATTACAGAAATTTGTTGAAAGAAAGGCTATGTCTATCATTATAGTGTTCTCTGAACTGAAGTAACCACATTCTGTCATATCTTTAAAAATCACATCAAGTTCTTCTTATAAAACTGATAATCACAACTATATGTGTTATATTTTACACATACCTGTAAAAATACCTTGATACATAGATATCATTAAAATGGTGAGAAAATAAATGAACAAAAGCAGGAGGAAGAATCTACAATCCATAGTTAAAGTACGAAATAGTAAAGCACATAAAAACATAAAGCCTAAATTCAAGGATAAAGATAATTTAGCACAGTAAAAACTGAGCACAAATTGCAGGGATTATGTTTGCATTCTCTGATAAAACATTTTCTGGTATAATATCATCAGTGTTTAAAGCTTTAAGAATAAAATGAATTCCAACCCTTTTTCTACTTAGCAGTTACTGCTTTCTAAAGAGTTCTTTAGGATTTAAATTTAAAGAAAAATGTAGGTGTGTAAATTTGCATCTTGATGTGCATATGTGTATGTGCAAAAAAAGAGAAAATGAACATTAACTATTAGAAAATACTGAATGAAGCATTATAGTGGCCTATTTACACATGAATACTTCAGCAGAAACACTTTATAACCTACCAAGGCCATTTGATTAAAAATATACTTTTTTTTTCTTTTTTACAATATACTTTTATGTAATTATTTATATTTAAGAATTTACCTGTGGTGTCCAGGAAACAGAAAATGGAACAGGAAAATCCACAAAACAATCAGGTGATTCTTCAGGGTACTATAACAAAGCATAAGATTAGGTCATCTCTGCTTCTGTATGACAGTTTTACAAGGTACTTTAGGAAAACTAGAATACTTAGAAATTTTAACTACAAAAGTATCCTATATAAATATTTTGACTCTTATGTAGTAACATTAAGACAACCTATGATCAGGAAGTACAGAAGTTCAGTGACTTCGGGTGCCAGATTAAGCAGTGAAGTGTAGTATTCTCAGTATCAGGTGCGCTGCTAATGCTGGATATCTATTTAAACTAAACATATCAAACTCATTGATATTTAATCTTTTTTAGTCTAAATTTTAATCTCTAGTAATTTGTCACCATTTAAATACGTAGTATCTATAAAAAAAAAATCAAGAAATGTTCAATGATTACATACAACTTTATCATGTTAAGAACAGTTTTCCCATATTGAAACAATTATTGCTTGTACATTTTTTTCTTAATTTCTTATATATTTCTTTCTTATTCCTATTTTACATGCACATATCTGGTAATATGAATAACTGGTTGAAAGACAACACTGTATTATAACAAATACTGTGGAATTCATATTTGTTAAGTGAAATTCTGTTATCACTTGTAATTTTTTGTTTTCATTCTAATTTGTACTCTCTTTAAGAAAAAAAAAAGCAGTGTCTGCCTGGCAAATGTGAGGTTATGAGTTTGATTCACAGTACCAAAAATAAATAACTAAATTTTTAAAAATGAAGTCAGTTTTAGAACTTTATTTTTGTATTTTTTTTGAAGTTCAGTAGAAAAGCTAAAGGAGTTTTAAGAAATTGTCACTGAAATATTGTATTTAACAAATACAAGTGCATTCATTACAAGCAAATGTTTTTAAAAGCATTAATATTCTGCTACAATTACCAGCTGTCTTAACAGAAAATTAGTATCCAGATATACTGACTACATTCTCTGACTATGTAAACAGATAACACAAAAGCAAATACACAAAAAACCGTATGAAAATATTATAATGATTACATTCTAAAAAAGAAAAAATGGTACAGCTGAGAGAAGAGAGTCTAAGTATTACATAATGAATTTCAGAATATAACTCCTATAATCAATGGAAAATCAACTTATGTACTACAACAAAAACTCGATTATCCCCAAACAAATACAGGCAAAGACCTGTATTTGGTTCATTTTTGATGATTTATACTGAGTTGTATAATGCTAGCTAAGTCATTTAATTTTTCTGGCTGTTTCATTTAGGAAAATGATTAAACTCATCTGAAAATGTTTTAAAAATATCTCTTTTCTGTCTAAAATTTTAGAATTCTTTAATTATGCACACTTAAAATTCTTGTTGGGACACGAACAGAATACTTTAGTTCATGTTGGGTTGTTATTTACCTTCTAGATACACTAAAAATAATCGGTGTTACCTCTATGACAAGCAAATTATCAATCTAGCCTAAGAACTTCATGAAATGTTTACTGCTTTGCAGTAGCTACACCAAGTAAAATACCTGTGGCCTAGTGAGTCAAGAGTACATACACAGCTCACCTTTACAGTACATCTGATTTTGTCCTAAGGTGAGGAAACTATGGGGTACTTCTGATAAAAAAGATAACTCTATAGCACAACATGCAATATACATTGTTAAGTATCATTTTAAAATACACCTATAACAACCACAACATTCCCTAATTATATTTCTTTTTAAATCTGTGTATCTATTTTTAACAGGAGTTGTCCAGTCCAAGTTAGTATTGTTCTGTGTGGGTTTTTGGACATGGTGAAGAGCAGCGAAACTGGGAAAGCACATACTGCACACAAAAATAAAAACAGCTGGGCATGGTAGTACATTCCCATAATGCCACATTCTGGGAGGCTACGGCAGGAGTTTGGGTTGTAACTGGCAACTTATTCATTTAATGACAACTTGTCTCAAAATAAAAAATAGAAAACAGGTTTAGGATGTAGCTCAGTGTGAAGGCCCTGGATTTAACCCAAATACAACTAATACATACATACATACATACATACACACATACAAATGTATTTCTTTTATGGCAAATCAAAGACAAAGTTCTGAACATTTACAAAACTAAGTCTGCTTTGAGGTTTGTTTTAAAAATTCTGCTTTTCTCTTAAAACTTAGTTTGGATGAAGATTTTATGCATTGTATTAACAAGTAGTTTGAGCTATAATTAATTTTTTTAAATGAAAACTCCAGGTCCAAATGTTCCTAAGAATTAATACATATCAAAAACAACTTTATCCTCCATAAAACTGAGCCAAAGGGACAAATA